GGGTCTAGGCCCGAAACGTCAGCCTTCCTGCTCCTCTGATGCTGCTTGGCCTGCTGTGTTCATCCAGCTCTACACCTTGTTTCCTCATTTCTTCCTTTTTTCAGTACTCATCCCCCTCTCATCAACCAGTGACACCTGCATTTGGATGTATGTAGTAAAATGCGATTTGATCTGAAGAATGCCGTTGCTGATAACTTCCATTCTTAGTGGATAAATAAAATAATTCTTTCAGCTCTAACTTGTATGTTCTAGAAAGTTTGTTATTCTCATAATCATTTAATTGTCTTTGTTTTAAATGAAGTAGCATTCTCTTTGAAATGGCTGAGGTTTAGTTACTAGTGCTTCTTAATGATGTAGACGAGTTGTTTAATGTCAAGATTCAGCTATTACTTTCTTATTAATAACGTGATGCTTGTAACTCATTTGTCAAAGCATTGGTGCTGTACCACAGTACACTATGCTGCTGGTTAAAATTACTACTTTTATTTATCATGCATAACACACTATTGACGAAAACTAGCAATTAATTGTGTTGCACAGTTGCTGCAAGGAAAGATTGCGGATTGTTTTAAGGTTAGAGACTAACCCACAGCAAGTGCTGTGAAATACAATACAATACAATACTGTAATTAATTGAACACTTCAGTTTGATTGCACAATTAGCGTTCAACAGCTGAGCCTGTTATACATGAATGGCTTTATTTTGAAACCTATGGATGACTAGATTGCACGAGGGAATAAATATGATGCAAATTACATTGAAAAAAGTAAAGTTGGAATTAGAAAAACAATGAAACAGATGTTGGCCATTCAGCCCCTCGAGCCTGTTCCGACATTCAATGAAATTATGGCTGATCTGTGGCCCAACTCCATATATCTGCCTTTGGCCCATATCCCTAAATACGTTTGCTTAACAAAGATTTATGTACCTCCAGACTCAAAATTAACAACTGATTCAGCATCCATTGCCATTTGTGGAAGGTAATTCCAAAAACCTACCAAGCAGTGTGTGTAGAAGTGCTTCCTAACATTTCTCCTGAATGGTCTGGACCTAATTCTCAAACTATGCCCTCTATTTCTAGAATCCCCAACCAGTGGAAATAGTTTATCCTTATCTACCTTGTCTTTTCTTGTTAATATCTTGAAGACTTTGATCAGATCAACTGTCAAACTTTAAAATTCTCAAAAAACAGGCCTAATTTATATAATTTCTCCTCATAACGTAATAGCTGAAGTCTGGCATCATTCCTCTAAACTTAAATTGTACTCCGACCAAGGCCAGTATATCCTTCCTAAAGTATGGTGCTCAGATTTGTTCATGATATTCCAAGTGGGGGTCTAACCTGAGAAGAAATGGAAATCTAAAAAAAGGTTTGTTTTAAATTTTGGGGTGAAGATTTTTATTCAGATGTTGGACTGCATTCCTTGGAAGTTAATAACTGCATCTTTCTGGCATTTACTGTTTTATTTTCAGCATTGTTCATTTGATTTTATCTCCAGCTTGTGATTTTACTTTTATCTCCAGCATTGTTACTTTGTTAATTGACTAACATATAAGAAGTCAAAAAGAACATAAAAAATAAGGGCAGAAGTGGGCCATTTGATCCTTTGAGCCATCCTCATTATTTCGTAAGACCATGGCTTATCCAATTGTGGCTTTAATTCCATGTAACTGTCTACTCTCCATAACTTTCGACTCCCCTCTAAATCAAAAATTTGATTCGTCCTTGAATATATTCAGTGACACTGCCTCCACTGCTCTCTGTGGAAGAGAACAAAGACAAGCAGTTCTCTGAGAGAAGAAATTTCTCATTCAAATCTAAAATGGGAGACCCCTTTATTATGAAGATCTATTCATCGTTCTAGATTCCCCATGAGAGAAAGGTCCCTCTGGATCTGCTCAACTATAAGACGATCCCTTCATGCTATGAATCAATCTCGTGAACCTTGTCTAAATTGCCAGTGACACAAGTATATCCCCCTTTCAGTAAGGAGACCTGAACTGTAAGCAGTACTCCCACACATTCCTTGTACAGGTCTGATAAGATTTCTCTACTTTTGTATTTAATCCCTCATAATAAAGGCCAATGTTTTGTTTGTGTTCCTAATTACTTGCAAACGTGCTAATTTCTTGTGATACCTATGCAAGGACATTCAGATCCCTGTATACCACAAAATTCTGCAGACTCTCAATCTCTCTCCACTGTCTGGTACCATATCATCATTTTTTTTTTTCACTGTTGTTGAATCAAAATCCTGAAACTCCCTTCCTAACAGCACTGAATATAACAACCCGTTGTGGAATGCAGTGGTTCAAGAAGATGGCTCACCTCCATCCTCAAGAGTAATTAGAGATGGGCATTAAAAGCTGACCTAGCCAACAGTACCCATATCCTGTGAACAATTTTTTAAAAAATTCTGCTTCTGCAATTTTCCCATCAAAGTAGACAACCTCCAATTTTCCCACATTGTACTCCATCTACTAATTTCTTTTGTCAATTAAACTACATCCCTTTGCAGACTCTGCATCCTCCATACAACTTGGTTTCAGACTTAACTTCGTATCATAATCACATTCGGCTACAATACACTTCCTTCATCCAAATCATTAATATAGCTTGGAAATTGTTGAGGCCCCTGCATTGATCCCTGTGGCACCTTTAAAAAAAATTCATTTGTGTGTGTTGCAGGCTGGCCAGCATTTATTGCCTGTCCCAAGTTGTCCTTGAGAAGATGGTGGTGAGTTGCCTTCTTGAACCGTTGTATCCCACATGCTGTGGGTTGACCCACAATGCCCTTAAGGAGGGAATTCCAGGATTTTGACCCAGCGTGGTGTTCCCATGTATCTGCTGCCCTTGTCCATCTAGATGCAAGTGGTTGTGGAATTGGAAGGTGCTGTCTGAGGATGTTTGGTGAATTTTCTGCAGTGCATCTTGTAGATAGTACGCACTGCTGCTACCGAGCGTCAGTGGTGGAGGAAGTGAATGCTTGTGATTGGCTACCAAGTGCCTAACTGAAAATTATCCAGTTATCCTGACTTTGTTCCTTGTTAATTAGCCAATCTTTATCCAGGCTAATATTATTGGCTAATACCTCCAACACCTCGAGCTGTTATACTTCTGTAGTAACCATTTATGTAGCACCTTACTGAATGTTTTTTGGAAATTCAAAATACAAAATATCAACTTGTTCCCCTTCTCCTACTCTGCTTATTATGCCATCGAAGAACTCTCATAAAATTGTCAAACTTGATTTTCATTTCCTGAATCCTCATCAAGTTTCTTTCTCTGTTAGCTCTCCCACTGTAACATTTGGCCTTTTTTATATCAGTGTTTTTAACCTATTAATTAGTCTGATCAATTGTTCAAAGAATTCCTTCCTAATAGCTGCTTTGGTGTAAGTATCTAATTCTGAAATCTCATTTCATCCAGTGGGCCTGCATTCATGGCTTATTTCAGTGTCTCTTCTATAAGAAAATAACTTTTTAAAAATTTCTATGTTATTAATTGTTTATATTTCAACACCTTCTTACCTACCATTCTCGATTATAGAATTGGTGCTTATCGAAATCTTTCCAGCGGATAAGGCAGCAAAAAGAAAAAGCTAAAAGATTGTATCATTAGCCACAAAACACACTGGTTTGAATGGTCTATGCTGTCGGTTTTCCTGAAGTCTTTGAGGGATCCTGATTTGTGTGAAGTCTAAAATACTAAAATGTTGTTTCTTTCCCTAGGTAATTACTTGTTTTGGAATTTCTGTGAGCCTCTGCAGCTATGTTGGGTTTGCGGTCGTAGCTTTACTGGTTGAAATCAACTCCATCTTCCTGCACCTGAGGCAAATTCTTCTGATGGCCAACAGGAACAAAACCACTTGCTTTCGCATTAACAGCATCATCAATCTGGGAACCTATGTTATCTTCCGTATTACCACACTGGCCTGGATGACACGCTGGCTGGTTCTAAACCGCGACAACATCCCTCTAATAAACTACAGCATCGGGAGTGTAGGGATGGCCATAATGACTCTGATGAATATTGTGCTGTTTTGCCGACTGCTAAGAAGTGACTTTCTGAAATCTAGCCGGGAAGGGAAGAAGGAAAAGGAGAAGTAAAACTTGCAGCGGTGTTTCCTCCCCAGTACTGGTGCTGAGATTTCTGAAGGAGGAGCTGAACAAGGACCTTTCACTCCTTTGAATTTAATGGTCCCATTCACTTAGATGTAATTCTGGATAACCCAATGGGCTTAATTGTAAATATATTTTTAAAATTTGTCTCTAACATTTTCAAAAGTGTTTTTTTTAATCTAATGATGTTATAGGTAAAATGAAAATGATACAAAATTTTAAAATGGTTTTTTCCTACATGTTTTAAAGAAATGCAGTTAAATGTGCTACTAGATAAAATACCTTAATCTTACACTATCTCACTTTAAACTACATTGGGCAAGTTATTGAGCAATTTTAACTCTTAGTGTTTGTTGTTTAATTCTTGCAATGATTGTTATTACTCCCGAGAGGATTCATTCTAAGTTTGGTAAATTATAAAATAAATGCCTCTAATTAACAGTGACTTAGCTAGCCTCTCAAATATATTGATTTAAACATAAGCATGTCAAATTAATGAGCTGGGAAGTGAGACAGTAGCCCATCAAAAGTATTCTGAAAATAATGAATCATTTGATTACTTCTGCAAAGTGTGAGGTTTTGTTACTAAACATCTTCATTTTATATAGATGTTTGATGGGCATTACTAAATTTTATATATAGTAATGGCATGTTTCAAATAGCTATATAGGAATCCTGTGTGAGTGATGTAGGATACATTCTAAGCTGATACAATGAGGACATCTGAAAGTATATCATCTTGAATGTACACCACTTCAGAAGCTGTAATATATTTATAATATGTCAATACTTATTTACTCATATATACTTGTATATTTATAATGTCAATAACCACCTACACTGTTTTTGATTGCCTTTGTAATATTTGTTTGATTTTAAAACAATAACAGAGCTTGTAGTAATGATGTAATGTTACAGAAAATAGTCAGTTTTTACTTTAATGTGACAATTTTCTTGTGCACAACATTCATATATATTTCTTACAGGACTAAAATGTGACTCACTAGTTTTGAGATCAGTCCATGGGCTATTTTTAAAAATATTTTCCAAATTTACAATATGTAGAATGTAATCAAAAGAATGTTAAATCTGAAATATTTATTTTGAAGAATTTATGCCTATTAATCTGCAAGTAGTGTTATGGTAATGACAGGAACAGTCATTCCTGGTTAGACCAGATGAGTATCTCCTGACTGTAGTCTATGTTCTGTTTCAGCATCAAGTTTGTTCATCTGAAGGGAATGATGTTGACTTTCTGGATGTTGGGCACAGTTGTGACTGTTCTGAAGTCCAAAGATCTTGTTAGATCCACCTCTTCTCAACTTAGCGGACTCTCTTTGTTGATTAAAAAATATTGCACAAAATTCTCCATGAAACAAAAATCTATCTCCTGTAATATGATAATCTAAACATTGGGGATGAGTCTAAATCCTCTCAATAGGATCGAAACCTATCTATTTTAGATTTATGTTTTTGTGGCAACGTGGTAGCTTTGCACATTTTAAGGCTGAAATTAAAGTAGAAGGGAAAAAGAAACAGTTTGCAAGGTGTAAAGAATCCTCTATGTGAATTGAGTTACAGAAAATGCTGTCTCTTTAGTGCAGATCAAAATCCAGGTAGTTTGTAAACTTTGCAGGCAGTGACAGGTCCAGACCAAGGGATGGACGTGATGCTATATGGCTCCATGCTATGTCACTGTCACACCTACACTATGTATCAGCAGCTTGCACAGCAAACACACTGCATGTGCTTTAACCAAGTGAGGAGGAGAACTTGGTCAAGTCAAGGGGGACTATGGTTGCTCAGGGAGTGCCGACATAGTCAGTACTATAGGTTGAATCTAACCAGTGTTTTGAATAGAGGGAGAACTGTGAAAGCTATTCAGTGGTCTGTGTTCACAGGAGCTATTAAGATGGTTCTGGTGCTGATCAGAATGCTGTTTCTTAGTCTTCCTTACTGGATGCTTTCATTGGTTTGGAGGTGGTACAGATTTGCTGGTTCACAATTATAAAGGATCTCTGACTCATTCATTAAAAGTCACAATGTACAGCAACTGCTGAAGAAAAGATAAACTTGTCTTCTTCAGATTAAAATGGTTTTTCCTGCAGAGAACAGAGCGAGCTTCTGAGCTGGTGGAGGTCAGGTGGTTTTTCTACTATCTTGTTCGCATCCTCAATCTGTTTGGCTCCCTGAGAACTAATCATAGTTGTGTTTTTTTTATTCATTCACCAGATGAGGGTGTCGCTGGCTGGGCAGCATTTATTGCCCATCCCTAATTGCCCAGAGGGCAGTTAATAATCAACCACATTGCTGTGGGTCTGGAGTCACACGTAGGCCGGACCAGGTAAGGATGGCAGTTTCCTTCCCTAAAGGGCATTAGTGAACCAGATGGGTTTTTCCCCCAACAATCGACAATGGATTCATGGTCATCATTAGGTTCTTAATTCCAGATATTTTGTTGAATTCAAATTCAAATTCCGCCATCTGCCATGGTGGGATTCGAACCCAGGTCCCCAGAACATTATCTGGGTCTATGGATTAACAGTCCAGCGATAATACCACTAGGTCATCACCTCCGCTAATTGTTGGCAGACAGAAGGCCTTTGTCATTGACAACTGGTCACTAGTCCAGAGATGAATTAGCTACTTGATGCAGGCTGAATTTCCAATTGTATTTTACAGTTCCAGCTCATCTGAAAACTATACCTCAGTTGTTGCTTGTTTAAGTCTCTGCGTAAATTTGAGCACCATACAATGAATGTCAGGTTACTTGCTTTCAAAAACACACAGTAATATCCTTTAGGGAAGGAAATCTGCCATCGTTACCTGATTTGGCCTACATGTGATGCCAGACCTACAGTGATATTGGTTGACACTAAAGTGCCCTCTGAAATGGCCTAGCAAGCCACTCAGTTCAAATGCAACAGGGATGGGTAATAAATGCTGTCCCTGTCAGTAATGCCTACATCCAATGAGCCTTTTTTAAAAAAAATCCTTCAGCAGTCCTTGGATTTTTTTTATTTTAAATTGTTTCTCAATTTGGTCCACAATTAAAACCACAGAAAAAAAGACAGAGACCGTCTATATAAAAGAACCAAGTAGGAAATTATACTTGAATTCGTGTTTTATTAAGCATACAATTGGTATACAGACAGCTTGTATTTGACTGTGATATAACAATTACATTGAACTCTTGTAAATAAATGGCCTGTGAGATGATTGAAATCTTAGTGAAAAAGTTAAGGCTTCTATTAATTTTTTGTGTCATCTTGTTATTTGTACCTCCTGTTTATATCTGTACCTAACACGTGCATAAAACTGTTCAATCCCAATAGATATTTCTAGCATATGTATATATGAAACTGAACTCCTTGTTGATTTTTATCACCTAATCAGCAGAATCTTCCTCTTCCAGTCACCAGTGTGCTAGTCAAAACACATAGCTCTTACAGAAGCTCAGTCCATTGCTTCTGTTACAAGGTTGAATCCCTGATGAAACTGAATTGGAATGTCAGTGAATATGCGTAGCATAAATGCTCCATCAGCATCTGGTGTAAAGGTACTTGGAATGATTCCATAGTGTCCTGGTGCAAGTTTACTACGGAGGTTTATGCTTCTCTGGGCCACGTAGGCTCCTGAATCCGAAACCGTTCTATGATGTGTAAAATGCTCTGCAGTTAGAACCATTTGTGGGTTGAAAGACTATTGGAACGAAAAAGAAACAAAAATTTGATTTCGACTTAAGTTGCTTTTTAATGGATGTTTTTGTGAAGATCACAAAATGGATTAGACAAACGTTATCCCAAGTACATCCACACAATGTTTTGTTTCTTTCTACTTTCTAACAAAAACAATGTATTCTTTAGATGGTGTCCAGATTGGAATATACCTGGCTTGATTATTGACAGCTAATAGATTGTGATCACCTTCTGTAAGATGAATAATTTTGTGTCATTTACTAATTTACATTCTCTTATGTTTGAGTAAAGAATGCTTAGCCTTACTAGAATGGCACACAGCAGCATCAATACCACATTTACAATTACATAGGCATAACAAAAGTAAGTATATTTTGCAAAGGAAACTAATCAGACTTTTTAAAATTGACACAGCATCTTAAAAAATAGCTCCAACAAGTCATATGGCTGGCCTTGTTGCTTCGCTGTCAGCCAAAAGACAAACAGACTGTTGTGTTATCTTGGCACCATCCATTAGGGGAGACATTTGGAATTTATTTAACCCTTGGACAACTAAATTGGTTCTCCCAAAGGTGTGAGAAATCAAAGCTTCTGAGAAAACAGGGTCTAAAAGGACACCATGGGAAATTCCAGAGTAATCGATTTTGCTTTGTAGAACAATGGTTTGTCAGAGTTAATGCAGCCGTCACCTTAAGATTTTGATCAATGTTAAACAGGCTGTGAGACACCACAAAAGGCAGAACTCCAAGAACAGCTTTAAGAGGTACCATCAGAGATAGTGTTCTCAACAGCAACAAAGAATCCAGCTAAAGGACTGTTGTATTTAACCAGGGTACCAAGTAGCACAACCTGCAGTGCCATAAATGTGAAATAAAGGAACATCACCTCCCTCCCAAAATCTGTTCTGCTCAGCCCATTTGTGGGTCATACCTCCAACTATTCAATTACAGGAACCATCACATATAATGAATTCTTAGCCAATAACAGTACCATGTTTTACTTAGTATCTTTCAGCTGTAGCTTTTAAGAAAATAACCCTTATCTTGTTTAAGATTAAAGCATTGTTGCTGGTTAGTTTTAAATTGTAACGCTCAGAACTAAAACTGGGACTAAATGAGCTGTGTGAATTTGCAGTCCATAGACCGTTCTACAGACACAACTGATCTTGCAATACCTTAATAATTATTCACTGCAAGTAATTGCGTGTGAAGGAGGTTACTGTGTCCTTTGAGACAGTAAGATGTTATATAGTTTGGTGTTTCCTTTTGGCCAAGGATTTGGAAAGAAAGCTACTTTCCAAACATTTTTTTTTTAATCCCCCTCAATCAACTAACTCATCTGAACAGAAAGTCATTGTTGAATAGATTTGCTAGTAATGTGCTTTCTTGACCATCTAAGAAATCTCAATTTACCTTGTAGATCTGTAATCCAATAGGATTCATTGAGATGCCAAGCTTCCTGTCCATCCTTCGATAATTCTGAATTAAAGATATCAGAACAGAACATGCCTCATCTACATGGTCGTCTTCGCTGCTTGAAAGAGTATCTGTAGTGTGACAGAGAGCACATGTCAGGAAACAGGCCATTCATTTGATGGAATAGATATTATTGGAATAATTGAAATTTCAGAGTATCAAAACAACAGGAACAAAAAGTTAAACAAAATATTTCAGTATGATGAAAAATAAAATTACAAGTAGGGAAATTTCTTGAACACCTGGTCACATTGAAGGCAGCCTGATCTTTGTAGATGGACAGCTTTACTACATTGGCAAAGTTGAAGGTCATGGTTCACACCTGCAGTTTCCCTTTTATCCACACCTGGCGCCGAGCTGTCGGATGAAATAAAGTTGCAACCTCCTGCACTAGTATATGTCCCATCAAGAGATTATGAAAGGGTATCATTCTATGACAGAGATCAATACATCTCTATAAAAGGCTTGCAGACAGACGTAATGACATAACTCATTGTCATCTTCTCTAGGATTGTTCTTATCACTACAAATGTTATAGCAAGTATTTGAAAATGTTTTGATTTGAATGATAACCAGATCATATTAATTCCCCATGCAGTGGTTAAGAAAAGACATAAGATCAATCTCCAGGACACTACTATGTGCAAACCAAAAGATAAATCAGAGGGGCATTAAAAATGGTTTATTTTGTCATTTACTCAGTTTTTATTTTCCAGATTTAAAAATATTGAAAAGGGCTGGCTGACAGTTAAGCATCATTCATTTGGGTCTTTTATTGCTTTCCAATTGCCATTGGAAGACAGTGTGTCATAAGAATGGACGTATTGGCTGAGTAATGGCTTGGGGGAGAATCATGTGTTGAAACCTTGAGGAACAGATTTACTCATTGCTGATCCCCTTGAGGAATAGACTTACACATTGCTGACTCCCTCTACAAAACTAGTGTGACTCAGTGGAGTCTTTGGCCATGACATAGCTTATTGTTAATTTTGGATCAAACTTGTTCACTTAATGAAAATACAGTGATATTTATAACTTGGGGTCAATCTGAAGCAGCAGTCTGACCCTTGACTGGCAGGTTGACATGTAGAATCAAACAACATAGAGACTTTTTGCCTGTCATACTTGCTCGAGCTTTGTGAAGGAGTTATGCATTTAGTCCCATTCACATGCTCATTCCCTAGAATCCTGCAAAAATTATTCCCATCAAGGTTTTATCCAATTCACTTCTGAAATTTCACATTGAATCTTCATTCTGAATCATCACAACTCATGAAAACAAGTTCTCATATCGTATGCTGTTTTTTGCCAATTATGTTAAATCTGTAACCTTTGGTTAGCAAACCCCTGGCATTGACACAGTTTATTTATTTACTCAATAAAAACCCATCGTGAGTTTGAATCTCTCAATCAACTATCTCCATGACCTTCTCTGCAGTAAGGAGAACAATTCCAGCTTCGCTAGTTTCTTCACATAATTAAAGCCATGCATCCCCATCATCTTCACAACTCAAAACGATAAGTAATTCTTTGCAAAGGTGAATTACAATTAATTACTCAATTGTTTTCACATAACTCTGATGCTTTCCCTTTTTCATTTAAAATAAATACTTCAGGTATTTCAGCCTGCAAACATTGTGTTTTGATCTGGGTAAGTTAAGGAAACTGAAAACATAATGTAAGTATTTGTAATTTCTAGTGTACAGATTACTGCAGCGAGATCATTGTTGGTCCCAGGATATGCAGTATCTACTGGATATACAGAAACCAATTATGTTTATGGGAAACAAAAAGAAAACATCAATGAAAAAACTGTGCTGAAAACACCTGGGCCTAGAAATTTGATTGCAACCCAAACAGAAGCATCCTGCATACGTTTGTCCCCTGCAGGAAAACATGCTGGATCTTAAAATATTTTTAAAAAATGTCATGCTGGCCATCACAGGCAGGGAATGCTATGGCCGTAGTGAATGGCAATATTGGGGAATAAAAGTTTGCAAGATTTCTCTCGTGCTGTCTTTTATTTCTCCTTCTATTGTACATGGCATGCAGGTACGAGTCATAACAAATTGCTTTCAACCACCAATCATATCTTCCTTTTAATTCTTTAACGTTAAAAACTGACATTCGTCCCTCTACTCCATTCAAGAACAAAAAATGCCCCTTTGCCACTTAAAGAATTGTCTTCCAGAAGATTCAGTGGTCTGTCTGTCACAAGCCCCTGCTGAGAAGCTCCAAAGCTCTACTGGATGTTGTATTTTTTTATATGTAGTAATGACATGACATGATATGGCATTATATAAAATATATATACATAAGAAAGAATAAGCCATTTAACTGTTTATGCTGTTTCTTTTTTATGACCTATGACAGCTTTTACAAGGTCTTCCTGATCAGAAAATGACAAGAGCTTGCTTTCTGATTTTCTGTGAAAATCATTCAACTATTCTGGAGCATGAGAAGGTGGGCATTGTGGCAGAAATGGAGATTTGCTCTGCGCACTTGCAAGAAGACTGACACTAATCAAATCCTTTCATCTTGCTCTGTTTCCTCACATTTTTTAAAATTCTCAAATTTCCTGGGTTGTTTTCTTTAAAACTTTCAATATTCCTCACACACTTGCTCCATCATCTGGCCCTTGTCAAAGATTCTTTACTTTCCTTCCTGAATTCATCTCTATTTCCTTTTACAGCATTCTAATTCCAGAAATGTTTTCATTCACCATTACAATGAATTGACAGTGTAGAAACAGGCCATTTGGTTCAACTGATCTGTCTTCTATTTTTGGTCTATTTCATCTTTTATCCACCCTCACCCCATCCACATAATCTTCAAGCACTTGTATTACTGCCATTTTATAGTTAATATTATCTCCCCACCCCTAACTTGCTTTTCACAGCTCCTGTTCTAATTGCTTCCTACAAAACCTGTGTAATCAAAACACAAGAGGCAAAGCACTGGCATAACCTGTCTTCACCCCACCCCAATCCATTTTTTCACACTTATTTCTGCAGTAACCTAACTAATTTCATCAACAACATTAATTCTGTGTGTCCATTAATTCTTCAAAGACTTCTTCACCCAAGTTGAAGAGCTCAAAGGCAGTGACAATTTGCAGAACATCTGAGAGGTACATCTCACAATTTTGAGAAGTGAAATATTTGCACAGGAGATTCTTTATTACCTGCTTCTGGGGCAATGATAGTGATGGGATACTGAGGATTGCAGCTATACTTCTTTATATTATTTCTGCATCCACCTGCATTAATTCCAGTCACCCACCGACCCTTTACCTCCTGCAAGCTTCCAGCATCTGTGAAGAGAAGAAAAATGCCAATAGTTCCTTCATTATGGCATTTTTGGCTCTGACAGCTGAATTGATTACACCATGTGAAAAAATGGTACTCTACTATATTGAGTGAAAAATAATTAATTCTTAACATAAACAGTTTGACGAAAAGGAAATTTCTCCAGCACAAAGTAAAGTAATTTTTGAAGGGCATGAAGGTGTAATAATTTTTAAAATACTCGACCAGTTCTGTGGGAAATAGTTGAGGGGTGGTGACAGAGGTTGTTTCCTTGCAAGTTCAGATTACATGAGAAGCCTTGTCAGGGTTTAAGTGTGAACAATAAGCTTATATTTTATCAAATAATGGATAAGCAAAAATTCTGTTTGTATTTTATTAAATTGCCTGTAAATTTCCTGAAAGTAAATGTTTCAAATGTATCTATACATTCAGATGTATCTATTTGAAATAAGTTTTCTGTTACCTATTAACTCAATCAACATCATGCCTTTGTTTAGAGTATCACTTCCACACATGGTCATACATCCTCACATTTACACTGCCCAGGAAGTACATATTCAAGTACAGGCCATTGATAAAGAATCTCAGTCAATACAGTGTGGAACTGGAGGAACACACCAGGTCAGGCAGCATCAGAGGAGCAGGAAAGTTGACATTTTGGGTTTATACCCATCATCAGGACTGGCCAGGATGAAGGTTGATGATGAAGTCCTGATGAGGGGTGTAAACCCAAAACGTCGACTTTCCTGCTCCTCTGATGCTGCATGACCTGCTGTGTTCCTCCAGCTCCAGCTGTTGATTTCTGACTCCAGCATCTGCAGCTCTTGCTATCTCCCATATAGAATCTCACGTGGTTCAGTTGGCACACGGCTCATGATTTTCCAATATCTGCTGGTTGGGGCTGCAGTTCCTCTTCACTGCTATGTGTTCAGAATATTTAAGTCTGCATGTATACTCAAAAAGCATAGCTTGGAAAAATAGCCTTTGCCATTTAGATAGATTTCAGATTTGTCAATAGGTGCATGAATGGCTACATGCAGATGTAGTAGTCAGTGATATCTAAATCTTGGCAAAAACAACAATTTGGTAAAACTATTTGCCACTGTTGCAACTGCCAGTGTTTGATTTTAACATATGTGTATGCATGTGCTGTGTGGATAAACAAAGTGTCAGGAACTATTCTAATTAAGTGTTGCATAGAAAAGCATTCAATTTGCCTGATATCCCCATAGGTGCCTGCAAGCAAACTCTGGTGTAAAGATGAAGTGCTGTAGTGTCTACACTCCATGCTCATCATGCCCTTCTTTTGAACCATACCCAGATAACAGACATGCCTTCATGACTGATCTGCTATCTGGCTTGTTCTGTTGATTACATGCCTCCCAAACCTCTCTGTGGCAGGTTGGTGCCTCCCCCTTCTCCTGATGCACTGATATATCTAGCAATGGGCACTGTAGTGGTTATGGGCAACAAAAGGTGTTTCTGAAGCATTGACTTCCATCAATATTGCAGTGATTTTTGATCCCTGCTGAAATAATGTGTGATCTGGCCTTGACCTCAAGATTTGCTCAATTCCGCTCCCCTTACAACACCTCCCCACCCCTCAGCTTCCCTCCCACCATCTCGGTGAATATCTTGATTTGGGCTTAACAGCCAAGAAGTACATTTTTTTCACTGTCCTTTTTAAATATGAATAGCAGTTCCCTCCACTCACAGAAAAGTAGTAATACCCTTTAATATAACTCATCATTACCTGCACCTCCATCACCATCAAAGTCAGGTCCCAGAGTCAAAATTGTAACAGTTGTAAACCTTTTACAGAAGTCATCGAACTTCATCCTATGAAATAAGATAGCACTTTGACAGTGGTGGCCAGAGGATCAACCAAGAAAATATACAGCTAAACTATAGTTATTAAATATTACAAAGCTGATAGAATGAGATGTCCTACCAGAATTCCCCATCATTCTTCTTTGTGAATCCAAATGCTTCCCTGGTCCAGATTGGAATTTGGTTCCATAGAGGAGAACTTTGTAGAAGGAAGAACCATCATGTTGACATTCATTTCTTTTAACAAGCATGCTGACTATCATATCCCTCTTTTCAGAAAAACAAAGTTATTCAGAATTTCAGGTTTGCAGACTTTCTAACACAAATATGGCAATACAGACCTGTCAAAAATATGGATACTTGAGGAGATTCTAAGGGTATGCTGTTCCAATAAAAAGAAGTCCCACATATTAAAAGAAAGAATTTAGTCTCTTCAAAGTACAGCCAGGTTACATGTTTTCTGGAATGTTTGGTACCTTCTCTGTCGATTCTTCTGTCGGGAATGTTAACTAGCTATGCCATTTGTCCCATTGTTATTTAGCTGGTGCTTTCTCTACAACCTACAGGAAGCTGTGACAGCCAGCAATTCTCTCTTGAGAGCTGAGGGCTGTTAGCTCTGGTGGATGGCAGGTAGCTCTGTGGCTTTGTCCAAATGCCCCCTTCTTTATACCCTTGATGACACATCAATATTTCTTACAATAGGACTGGTACTATGTTGTCAAAACCATCAGATTTGAATTTAATTGGTTTTTGATATCTAAGTGTCTGGTTCAAATTGATTGGTCAAATTCAAAACTTGTTGTCTTGGTAAAAAAAGAGTGCTGCTTGGCCTCCAACTGTACAGATTTTCAATACAAATATTTCGGGTGCTCTCTGTGTACTTTCAAGCTGCTGCTCACAGACATCCATTTTAAATCTCTAAGCACAGAAAAATCACATCAACATTTAAAGGGACCATGCAATGTTTTCCCCGCTTACAAACACCAAATTCTAACTGTAACCAATTTCACAACACTTACTTAAATCAGCGATAAAAAGTATTATTTGTAGATTCCTATTTAAAATGCATTGGAACCCACATTTATGAAGCTAAATGATACCAAATTCAAATAGCAAAGAGACCAAACTTGGCGTTATACTAATGATAATGTCTCCTGAATTTCTTCCTACAATCTCAAATGTTATTTTCCCTGTATGGGTGCTAATGGACCATAAGACCATAAGATAAAGGAACTGAGCCAGACCATTTAGCCCATTGAGTCTGCTCCACCATTCAGTCAACTATTGAGGTCTGGGGAAAATAAGTGTTTAAAAGTGTCAATGCCCCTGTGCAATGAGGGTAATTCAATTCTCATTTTGCTTCCATGATCAGTAATGTCATCTCAGCTACAAGTGCTCAATGGAAGGGTGACCATCCAACCTAATGCTACCGAAGGGGTTGAAGATCTGGTCAACTCTTGTCACCAATGCACAGAAGTAATATCCAGTCTTTGGAATGGTGTTGTGAAGAGCCACGATTGAGTTTAGATGAAAGATGTGGATTGGAGAATTTGGGGCTCATTCTTCAAAGGGGCCAACAAAAAAGGGCCTACTGTCGAGATATACATAAATACTTTAGAAAAATTGGTTTCCCAAGATTCCATCAAATCAGCCTTGATATTAGAATGAGATGGAGCCTTTTACAAGTATGAAATGTAAATTTCAGAGTGTAAAACATTATTTATCACACACAAATGTAGAAATTACATGTGATATTGGGGACTGATGGAGGAAAAATACTGGAGGCAATACTCAGAGTACTGTAGTCAAGTTCCGAAGTGGAAGAGGTGGTAGAGCTGAGAAATATTCAATAGTCTTCCTGGTTCATATCTTCTGACTGTCAAAAGGCTTGTCCAAACATCAAACAGAAGGAAAAAATTATTCTACAAGGCTGATATCAGAAGTTATGCCTATTGGTAGATATATATGTAGCAGCAAGTCCTTTCGGATTTCCTGAGTTCCAGAAATGTTCCAAAAACTGTAAGATAATTCTACAATTTTAAGGTAAGACAGTGCAAGACTGAATATGATTACATGCAAGTTAAAGCACTATATGTGAGTTAAATCATAGCAGATGGACTCAAGTCAGTTATAAACTGACTTCATAAGGCAATGCTGATGTGCCTCTGCCAATTTGAGAGCTAACCAATGTTAAGGTGAATACAGCCATCTAGTGGACAGAAATAAAACTGAAAGATTAAAAAAATGGGGCCAAATTTTCAGAGAGAGCAAGAACTGCAGATGCTGGAGTCAGAGACAACATAGTGTGGAGCTGGAGGAACTCAGCAGGCCGAGCAGCATCAGAGGAGCAGGAAAGTTGACGTTTCTCATCAGGACCCTTCAGAAATGGGGAGAGGGAAGGGAGCTGGGAAATAAATAGAGGAGGAGTGGGGCTGGGGAAGATAGGTGGGATGGTGATGGGTAAATGTAGGTAGGGAGTGGTGGAGATTGGTCAGTGAGATGGGTGGAGCAGATAGGTGGGAGAGAAGATGCTCCTCCAGTTTGCGGGTAGTGTCATTGTGTCACTGGAGGAGCTCCAATGACACTACCCGCAAACTGGAGGAGCAACGCCTCATATTGCACCTCGGCAGCCTACAGCCCAATGGCCGAAACATGAAATTCACAAGTTTTAAAATCTCCCACCCCCCAGCCTCATCCCATGTCCAACCCTCTCTCTCATCCCCGTCTCCTTGACCTAATACAACCTGTCCATCTTCTCTCCCACCTATCCGCCACACCCACCTCACTGACCAATTCCCACCACTGCCTACCTGCACTCACCTATCACCATCCCACCTACCTTCCCCAGCCCCACCCCTCCTCTCTCTATTTATTTCCCAGCTCCCCTCCCCCTCCCCATTTCTGAAGAAGGGTCCCAATCTGAAACGTCAACTTTCCTACTCCTCTGATGCTGCCTAGCCTGCCAAATGTTCAGACTGCTTTGGAAGCAGTGCTGAAGATAGATGGGCCTACAGTTCTGCATCCACTGCACCCCAGCCCAACCTCTGGGCCATTTTAATTCAGGGAAGATCAGAGGAATGGTGACTACCTCTCTGCAAAGAACAGGCAGACCATTGGTCCACTTAATGGACATATAAAAGCTTTCAGCATTTCCAAAGTGGCATGAGGACACCCACTCACTTTGATGGGGTTAAAGTACACCAAGAGATGGAGACGGTCTGTCGTTCTCCAACCTTCATCAACAGCTCTCATTCACAACAGCAGGTCGGCAGATCTTACAGTGCTGGAGGATCTCCTATTGTCCTGCCAATGGTCATCAAAAACTGAGTATCAGATGCCAATGCACCTGGTATCAGGATCATGAGCCACACTAAAAATTCAACCCAGCTTGTGTTTAAACAGGCCTGCTGATATAAAGCTTGGGGCATGGGCAAACTCTTGAGAGTTGTTTAAATTGTCTAAAAAAATTTCACACTAGAAAATCTTTAATTTACAGCAGAGCTTGTCACCTCTCAAAGTCCCATTGGATCTTTTAGTTTCCTTTTTAACCCTGTTTCCCTAATCCTCCTACAACTCCTTAGCACATTCTGTCACCTGTAAATTATGTTTTGTGGCATTTTTATATGGTAAGCATGGCACACAAATACAAATTATTGTTTTTCAAACTGTACAGCCTGGTGACTTAAAGGAATGGTGGTTTAATGCCACCAATTCCAATGCAATTCTGCACATTTGTTTCCCTAAATGTCTGCACACAGAGTGACATCGGTACTGGAAATATAAGGTTTTTCTATTTTGGAAACAAAAATATGAACAAATGTACAACGCAATGGAAAGTGCAAATCTGATAGGCCCAGATCTTCCAATGAGTTGCCCGGAAAGTTGACGTTTCCAATGGGCAATTACCATGTGCCTGGAACCCTTTGAGAAAGTCTCAAAATTGAGCTAAATTTGGAACTTTTGGAGAGTTCTGACTTACTTACCTTAATAGTTTGCCAGGGTAAATTTAGAGTGATTCAAACCTGCTGTAATTCCTGGATAACTGTAAAACTAACCCTGGCAAACAGCCAACCTTCACCTCCATGGATCCAGCCACAACTCCACCGGAACCTGAATCCTGAATTCAACCCACCTCCTACTCCCTACGGACCTGTCATCGCACTCAGCCTGATCCACAGCACCTTGCAACTGCCCCTCATGGACTCTGTCCACTTGACTCTCCACACCTAATTCTCCAACACACTTGCAGCCTCTGACTCCGCACCCTTACCAACACTCGTCCATGGGTTGGCTGACCCCCATCACCCCGATTTCCATGACCCTTCCCCCCACGAGTGGATACATCCTGACGGCTGCCAAATACCCCCAGCCCGACCAGAACCCTCACCCACTTACTTGGCAACCTATCAATCACCTCTATCCACCCTACTACCCCCACCCAACTGTTACTTCCTTCAACCACCTTACTTTCCACTCAGCAACCTAATTCCCATTCAACTGTCAGCCTACTCATTCCACCACCTGAAAACACAACTTGGCAAGCTTTCCCATGTTATAGCTCAATATAGTTACAGCAGTGCAGCATTGATGTCACTTACTCATCACTCCAGTCACCTGTCCATTCCATATTGTGGCCTGCTCCCCATGGATTGAGAATCCGAACAAGTGGCACCCTCCCTTTTGGAGTGGTTAGCTAAAGCAAAAAATATTTTTAAATGTATATCAGTACCTTACAATTCAAATCATTTATATCAACATCAATGATAGCTGGGAAGACACCAAAACACAAGAAGGGAAAATATTTGTCTAGAATTTAATTGCAGAAATGAACACGAACAAAAGAAACTCAGTGTTTCAAAAATGTTTTAGTATATATTCTGGCCAAGAGAAATGTTAAATATCTCCCAGAACTATTCAAAACAAGATTCCACTCAATTAATACCACCATCTCATTTGTTTCTGACCTTGCAACGTTCCATAATATATTGTCATAGAAATGCAAGTTGTTGTTCAATTGACGATCACAGTTGCCAATCTAATGAAAGTGTGTACGAAATATAGCTCACTTGAAAATTGCTTTGTGTTTTGCAAGGTTGTCACTGTAGTTGGCTCGGCTGTGTTAACACTAAAAGTTAAGAAACAGAATCCATCATTCAGTGTAAATACCCTGTGAGGGAAGAAGGCTGTGTGCAAAAACAGAAAGATGGGAGAGAGAAAGATACGATCACACACTTAAATAGCAAAGCTGACACGTGGGCCTCAACTATATGACATGGTCAATTTGTTTTCAATGTAGTGTAACAAATAGCTAGAAATTTATCCAGCAAAAGCGAACGATTAATGGATTATGCAGAATAAAGAGCAGTGGACAGATCCAAAATAATCAAAACCAGATGATGCGTAGCAGCACAATGCTCCAATGCCGCACAACAAGGGATCAGCTTCTAACTACTCAGAGATAGTAAGAACTGCCGATGCTGGAGTCAGAGATAACACAGTGTGGAGCTGGAGGAACACAGCAGGCCAGGCAGCATCAGAGGAGCAGGAAAGCTGACATT